GTCGTGTTTACATCAGCGTCATGTCTACATCATTTCCGCTTAAGCCAACCTAGAAGTCTGCATTAAGGCACATTACTGCCACCTACTGGGTAAAATGTACAATTTACCGGGCTCCACATTTAAATTCAGTTTTAAACAAGATTATATTGTATTTAGTCAGCAGAGGTACAATATACGTATTCAATGAAAACATCATTGACTCACTGATTCAGTCTGAGACCTGAGTCTGTTTAGTTGAACATAACACTAATATACTCACAGGAATTAAAGAAAGACACAGACAAAACTGTGAGACTTTCTTTATTCTAGTTTTTAGAGCCATCTACTGTCACCAATTTTGAAATCATTTATTGTTGCTGTTGTGAATAAGAACAAATGATTTGTTATTAGATAATAGTTTTGGACCAATTAAGTATTTAAGTCCAAAGTACAAATAAGTAATTGGATAATTTTCCACATGGCACCCGATGCTCGGTCATGGTCCTCTTATGTGCCATGGAACAGTGGTTGGGAATCACTGGTTACATGTACAGTGAGAAAGTGGAATGACTTAGAGTACTTATTTAAACCATTAGTAATCACTGGTATCGGACATTATGTTTTTGTCATTGTTGTGGTAGAAGAATGAAAGACAAAAACTCAAATAACACTACCTTTAATGTCTGTGTGTATGGCTGTGCATGTACTATCTGTGTGTATAGTACTGTGTTTTGGAGGAACAGAGGGAACAATGTCTTTGATTTTGTTTTTGTTTCAGATGATGAAGGAACCCGACCTCCTTAGACACCTCATAGACTTGCTAACCAGCTGTGCATGTGGACATTCCTTTACGCTGTCCTGCACGCACTGGCACACACTAGGTGTTTTTATGAGGATAGTGGAGTGTAATGGTAGCTTGCTACAGTACTGGGGAGGCTATTTTGTCTACACCTCAGCACCTCCTGTCGCAATATGGCTCACATTATTACCCTGCTAAGTTCCAGCTTGTCCTAACATAGAAAAACTCTCATCTTCCTGCTCATTCTTCATGCCAGCTCTGACAAACACTGTGCCCAGAGTGGAACTGTAATAAAAGACTAGCTGTCTGGCGTCCACCATGCTGCTGCCTTGTGCCCACCTGGGGCTGTGAACAGATAGGGTAACAGTGTGTGGGTGTAGCATGTTCCTGCTCTCTGCAGTTGCAGCCTTGAGGTTGCGCTCGCGGGGTGCCGAGAAGCATCTAAATTCACTTAGGTGGTTTTCCTCAACTCGACTTCCCAGCGGGCAGAGTCGCTGCACTCAAATATTTGCATTCATTCAATCAAGCAGTACACAGTAGCACATGTTTTTTCAGTGAAGCTTGAAGCTGCTTTGCATTACTGCCTCGGCTGTGTGAGGAGATTGTAGCCCCATTCGTCGGTGGTTAGCAAAGTTTATTTGCATAGCCCACTATCATCAACCCCCTCACCCCCCGATCATACCTATTCCCAGTTTTGTGACAAAAACTTTCCTGAACTTTATTCTTGTGAATTAAAGTTTTTTTGTTTGTTTTACATTACAAAAAGTACAACCAATTATTTTTTCCCACTGTAGCACAAATATAAAAAACATTAAAATAACATTTATTTGACCTGCTGCACCCCTCCCCTCCCCATTTTAAAAAGAAAAAAATATTGGAAACAAGTTGGTGCCACCAGTTAAACCTGGCATGATTTATGTTGTATACGGCGATACATGCTTGGGAGACTGTGAATACAACACAGGTGGCTAAAATTGATGAGGTAAGAGCTGAGCTTTTTAACGGACATGAGAAGAGGGGAGAAACAGCCATGATTATGAAGTTTGAAATGAATGGATAATCAGGAGAGATATGGAGGGGAATATAATAATGCATATGTTTTACAGATATGTTCATATGTTTTGCCAACTCTCGCCAATAAAGCGACTGTAATGTTGCAAATTTGGTAGAGATTAAAGAAGGAAACAGTTAAAAGTTACACTGTGGTAAAGCGTCATTGTTACTGCTCTCTTCCTACATGTTTCTGACACAATTTCTTTCAGTCCATAGGTTTCGTCCATCCTGATTTGCCTCCAAACCAAATGGACCATTAGACTCTTCTTCCAGGCCTCCATGCTAATTTCTGCTAAGCCAAGCGGCAAAAATTACGACAGCTGTATGAGATGAATAATGCAATATTTACTTTGCGTTATGGCAACAGAGACTTTTAAAAAAAATTATAACCATTATCAAAAAGTTCTTAGACAGATCTTATACTGTTTCTGATTTTACTCCCAGAGGAACACCTCAAACAACCACCCTTATATGTTCAAGCTCAAGCCGCGTTTCTTTGACAATGTGAACACAGTCACTGCAATAAAATCACTATTGGTTTACGACTTTTTGTTTTGATATACATCAGTTGCTCCTGCATGGTAGTTGTTACTGTGCCTAAGAAGAGTCATCTGTCAGCACCTTTTTTAACATCCAAATTCTATTGGGCATCGAGTAAAAATGTTGTTAAAGTTCAGTTCATTAATCAAACCAACTCAAACTAGCTAGCTAGCTAACTAGCTACAAATTCAAATGGGTTCACGGTGTGTTATGTTTCCTGATGACTGTATAATTGTCCCTTCCAAGTAAAAATGTCATTAAGCAATGACAATGTTACTTTTTTTTCTTTTATTGGCACCCCCTACAGACCGTTAGTTATATGTACAGTAGGCTTTTCAACATCAAACTCCCACAACTATCAGCAGGACCAGACACCTGGTTGTGTCCAATACACAGTGAGTAAAGTTGTAAACTGACTTCACCAAACCGTCAGTTGTCAAGAGGAGATCATGAAAACTTTAAACGTAACATGTGTACGTGTTTATCAGATAAGGGGAAAGGGAAAAAATAAAAATAAAAATGTCTTTTACCAGCATCTGGAGGATTCAGTTCCTGCATTGGCTGAGTGTAACCACATGATTCCAGATTTATGGTAACATTACAGTTTTGGCTCCAACTGAACGCTTGAGCAAAGTGAGGCCTATTTATTTGCTCTACTTGAAAAATGGCTGCCATGCTTGTACCAAGCTGCCTGCCAGATCCGCAGCCTTTACCACCCTGTATCTTTAAACATCAGAGTATGGGCTTATGAAATAGTTGAATTGTGTGTGTGCAAGTTCGCATCATCCTTTGACAAATAAGTCTAAAAGTTCAGTAATACCCAGCTTGAAATATGCCTTAGGAATCTGGGGGCTGCGTAATTGTTCCATGTAAAAATTCTTTTGGAATTTAGACCCACAGAAATGTGTCTTTTGATCTGAACATACACACAAATAATAATAATATAATAAAAACACAAAAAAGTGTTTCACTGTCAGTCTATCACCATTCTGTATTATTTTTGGTTCCCAAAAAACACAAAGTGTTAACGTGAGAGGACCTTCCCGTCTCTCTCCAGGCCTCGGTCCCTGCCAAACCACATTCCTCCGGCAGCTGCCATCTCTTACATCTGCTGCGTTGACGCGGTTTCACTTGACTGTAGTGAGGAATTTATTTAGCTTTTCTGTGATGAAATATTACACACAGTCACCAGGCCTCGCTCTCCTCCATATCTTATTTGTGATCCCCGGGGCTGTCGTTATGCTGCGAGTGCTTGTGGCTTCTGTTTTACTCCGCGCTCGCTCGATGCTGCCGCTAAAACTCGCAATGGGCGGTGGAAATACTCACTGGGCCTTTCAGCATTTAAACTTCCTAATATGTATGTTAGGTCCCCAGTATTGAAGTTGATAAATCAGGGAGGCCCCCTGAAATGTAATGGCGCACATTACCCTCTGCCGTGAGCATTTACAGATGTATAAACAGTATTTACAACCAGTCACTGTGGGAGTAGAGAAATACAAGTAGAATTTAAAGGACAAATAAAGGGAAAAAATTCTGCGTCTAAGCTGCACTAATCAATATATTTCTGTGCTGATGCGGAAAAGATTACTGTGGAAAATTTAAAAAAAAATAAATAAAGAGCCTCAGAGGCAGCAGATGGACAGGTTGGAGTTTTGCTCGAGGTAAAAAAGTAAAAATAAACCTAGAAACAGGAGACAAGATGGTGATTTACACTTCAGCCAGCGAAAGTAAAACATTTACAAGCAAATAAAATGAAGTTATCAAGAGAGAAGGAAATGACTCTAATGATGGCAACACCTCTGTCTCTGTCTGTAAAAGGTTTAAAGAGAATATCTTTAATATATGTTGGTGGTTTAGGTGGCCCCCTATTGCCAGGTGTTTTGTGACTGCCAGAGGTCTACAAGTATTGCCAGGTATATCCAGGTAGAT